GAATGGCAGCACTGAAACTGCCCTCGGAGGCCGAATATGTCTTATTTTAATCACGTGTGGGCTATTTCCAAGAGTAGGTTTTGGGGGGTGGGGGTGGGGGGTGGCAGGGGAGAGGTCAATGGGGAAAAAAGGAGACATTTGTAGCCTCCTCCTCCTGTGCCTCCTCCTGTGCCCACCAGATCCCGCAGCGGGAAGCCCGTGGGCACTGGCCTGATCGGCCTTGACGCCTGAAAGTAGAGAAACGGCTGAAAGTAGAGAAACGGCCGAGTGCAGCAGTGAGGGGCTGGGGTGGTTCTGACCATGTGAAGAGGGACCCCAGGGAGCTGCCCCCACCCCACCCCCACCCCCGTGAGTGAGTGACGTTCTGCTGCCTATCTAGTCCACCCCCCTCCCCCCACATCAAGTTAAGAATAAAATATTTTGTATCAAAAATGTTTCCTAAGCAAATACAATGAATTCTTTGAATTCATCCCCTGATGCAAGAGGATGTGTGTGTGTGTGTGTGTGTGTGCGCTTCCGCGTGGAAAGGGCACGCCACCCCCACCCCCGTGAGTGAGTGACGTTCTGCTGCCTATCTAGTCCACCCCCCTCCCCCCACATCAAGTTAAGAATAAAATATTTTGTATCAAAAATGTTTCCTAAGCAAATACAATGAATTCTTTGAATTCATCCCCTGATGCAAGAGGATGTGTGTGTGTGTGTGTGTGTGTGCGCTTCCGCGTGGAAAGGGCACGGGGGGTGGGGGTGGACACCACGCGCCCGGTCAGTGTGTGCCCGGAGGCTGGGAGCGTGTGGAGTGGGGAGCCGCCTGCTGCTTTCGTGGACGGGAAGCCGCGAAGGGAAGCAGAGGCGACCGACCAGAGCAGCTTCTCCTGGGACTGAGGTCCTGTGCTGGGGTCCAACCCCAGCGGTTCCAGGGGTCCCCAAAGGTTTGGACGGAGTCGGCAAAGAAGGGATGACGCAGAGACAGGATCTCTAGCCAGGATCTCCAGCCAGGTTTTGTAGCCATGTTCCCTCGCTAGGTTCTCCAGCCAGGTTCAGTCACCAGGTTCTAGTCAGGTTCTCTTGCCATGTTCTATCCAGGTGCTGTAGCCAGGTTCTGTCTCTAGGATCTTCAGCCAAGTTCTGTCTAGGTTCTGTCTCCTGTTGTCTTGTTACATCTGTATTTATACCAGTTGATTCCAATCCTATCAATCTCTATTCCAAAGGTTAGGGCGTTTCTTATCTCCATTCCAGGGAGTAAAGATTATGTAGCTTAAGCATGATTGTTCGGAGTTAAAGTGATTAACTACCCGCCTGGCACTTAGTTAAGGGGTTTTATTCCCTCCCTAACTTCAGGGGAAAATCCCTACCTGGGGAAACCACCTTTCTCAGAGAGGTGACCTTGGTTAAAACACATAGTGCCAAGAAGGTGAGCAAACATATTAAGAACACTATGCCATATACGCCAGGTCCCTTGAAACATGTGCTGTGCAGATGTTCCTTCCCTGCAGCGACTGTGTCAAGCAGCAAGGCTGGACCTGCTCCCGG